TAGTGTAGTTTTAGTAATTGGGTGAAATATGTAAATAGATAACACATTTAAAGAATGAGTCTAAAGGATCCAAGAGGGGTGGGAAAGGGTTGAAGCAGAGGGATGAGGATGTGCAGGGGGTGGGGAATAATCATCAGGTTGTACAATTTGATGGGTGGGCAGTGGGAAAAGTTGAAAGAATTAGATCTTGAAAAGTTCTTGAAAATGTATTCGGATTTTGTAAATAAGCTAGTTATTGTTGTTAAGTGCCATGGATTCGTACACCTGTATAACTTGGGTTGTTTCTCTATGTTCATAGAGTTTCTGGAGGCAAGCTATTTCTGAGGTGGATAAGCACTACTGCTTCTAAGCTTGGTTTGGTGTTTTGTTTTTTTTTCAGTGACATTTGTTATATTTGCTGAATATAAGCAGGCATTCTTTATTCATGAAACATAACTATTATATTAAGAAAATATCATACAAGCTTGTTTTAATCAAGGAGCTCCACCAAAGACTGTCCACCATGGGTAACCCTTATCACATTTGACACATCACTGTTACAGTGTTTAACATCACAGCAACCACGAGTTACCTCTGTACAGCAAATGGACAGACCAGTGCTATACCACTGGTAAATAAATGTCTTTTTAAACAGGAGTCTGAATACAATCAGCTCACAGCCAGTGGCCAGTAAACAATGTCCCAGAGTCTCAACAGAACCAGAAGTCAAAACCTCTGTAGAGTCAGACTGCTTCAGAATACTCCCCACCTGGAATCCAGACTCTTACTGGTGAATGAATGCCTTTTTAAATAGGAGGTTGAATACAATCAACTCACAGCCAGGGGCCAAATAGCTTATTAGAACTACTAGTTTAGTAGAAAATTTAAAAAAAAAGTAGCTACTTTAGAAGACTCAAGTGGTTTACTTAAAGATCTTAAAATCAAGTGGGGATTTGAGCTTGATAAAAATTGAGATTCTCAGTTGAAGCCACAAGGCTCCCTCCAAACCTCAGATGAAAGCAAAGCCATACATCTCAAGTTAAATCACTACTTAAAGTGCCGACAGTGAGTTTGAAACCGGTTGTGCTGGACACTAGTTGGGGGCACAAGTTGTCTTCCCAGATTGTTTATCCTCTAGGTATCTTATTTTTTTAAATCTTGACATGTTCTTTCACTGAAATTAGGTTACACTTAAGCAGGACAATATGTTGGAGCAGGATTAAAAGAATAAAATAAAAAAGTACGAGAAAAGCAACATTTGAAGTTAGGAAGGAGAACACAGCAGAAGATTGTGTTTTTAATAAGCTCCTAAAGCTCTGGTGCCAAGTGGTGAGAAGCTGTGCTGCAATTCCAAAGTCATGCAGTTCAAATCCATGAGCTGCTCCACAGGAGAAAGATGGGCAATCTCCTGCTGTGTGATTAATCGCCTCTGAAAACTGACTAGAGGACCAGCTATGGGCTGGTTCTGATTTAATAGCTCACGATGAGAAGATGGACTGACAAAAGAACAAATATGTCTCGGAGGAAGTTCAACTAGGTTGCTCTTTAGATGCAAAAACGGTGAAACTTTATCTCTCATACTTCAACCATGTTCTTTGGAGAAGCTCATCCTTGGAAAAGGACACCATGATTGCAAAAGTCAGTGAAAGAAAGGAATACTCTAAATGAGAAAGGCTGACTCAGTGACGGTAAAAATGGACTTAAGTATATCAGAAGATGGCACAGGACAGAGTAGGGTACAGATCTACCTGTTCACAGAGTTGCCATAGGTCATAGCTGGCTCGACAGCACCTAAAAACAAGAACTAAATCATACGTCCTTGAAAGCATGTTGTTTCATGTACTAATGAGTCAAAACTGACCCCATCGTTGAGCCCCTGTTGGGTTTTCAAAGACAGTAAATCACATGAGAGGAAACTGTCCATCTTTCTCCTGTGGAGCAGCCAGTGGATTTGAATCTGCATGCCTTTATCATTAAACTACTGGCAGCTTAAAAAGCTTCCCCCCCCCCAAGAAAATATTTTATATTCTGTAAGGTTTCGGTGAACAAGCACACACTGTTGTTGTTATGTGTCACTGTGTTGACCACAAACCTTGCCCTTTTTCCCAAGAAAATACACTATATAACCATCTCAGTTAAATGTTATCATCACATTGTTGATGGAGAAGCCTGACAGTGGTGGTATGACGCCACAGAGAAACTGAAATCAAAACTGTCTGCCTTCCATCCCTTTTGTTTGCGTGGCTGGCCTGTTAGTGACAGCTCCACTGTGCTCCACATAGCTGCCAAGAGCAATGTAGGTCTAAATGATAAAATGCACTGTGTTTAGGAGAAAACAGTTTATTTGAACCATCCAGGGGTCATAGTTGGTTCTGGGCAACTGCTTATTTCACTTATATCACGGTTTCAAAATACTTAGTATCATAGAGGTAGTGATACAATTTTCTCATGTGACCTCCTAAACCTATTGAAACTCTAGATAAAGTATGACTGACACATGAGTATTATAGGATTTAAAAAATCTGAATCTAAGATGGTGAAACTACTGATTGAGCTTAGTGTCAAAAAGGCGATCCAGAATCTACAGAGCCAAAGTCATCTAGAGTGTTAACAGCTGGAGGATTTTATCTGAGTGTCCACATCAGACAAAGTAGACAAAAAGGAAATTTCTCTTATTTATCTTAAGGTTAACGATATTATCAAATTAAGAAAAAGGGCCTTTCATATGTCCAAAATCAGATGTTGTTGTTAGGTACTGTTGAATTCAAGTACAACTCAAAGCAGCAACGACTCATAGCAGCTCTATGAACAACAGACCTGAATCCTGTCCTATCCTGTGCCATCCTCATCCGCACTAATATACCTGAGCCCACTGCTGAGTCACTGTGATAAATCCAGCTCGTTGGGGGTCTTCCTCGGTTTTGTTAACTCTCTACCTTTCCAAGCATGACTTCCCTTTCCAAGAAATAGCTTCTTCTGGCAATATGCTAATATGAGAGATAAGCTTTGCCATGTTTGCCTCCAAGGAGCACTCTGGCTGCCACTTTTCCCAAGATTTATCTGTTCTTTTGGTAGTCCATGCAATATTCAGTACTATTCTCCAACACCCCTACTCAAAGGCATAGATTTTTCTTCTGTCATCCTTATTCACTGGGCTCTCAGATGCATAGACAGTGATTGAAAAGACCAGACTATTGCTTCAATCAGCCATACCTTCGTCTTCAAAGTACTATCACTGCTTTTCAGTGTTTAGGTGAGGTCCCTGACAGCAGATTTTTCCCAGCGCAATATGACTCTTGACTTCTTGTACTAAGGGTATTGATTGTTGATCCAAACATGATGAAATCACTGATAACTACAATCTTGACATCTGAGACAGAAGATTCTAGTCTGTTATTTTTCCACAGTCTTAGATACTTCTCATTGAAGAGGATGGCTACATCAGTTTGGAGCAGTCAATGCTAACCAAATTTCACTTTCAGACAGTGACTTCCAAACAGTGACCTGTCCAATGACTTATTCTTTGTTCTTTACCAACTACGTTTCCGTCTGTTTTCTAAGAGGTTTTAATGTTACGGAAGTTTGTAGCAACTGCTTCATATTATTTGAATCACTACTGATTTTAAAAAAGCAAAAGAAAGCTCTGGCCCATTATTCATTTTCTCTGAGTAAAAGTCATCACTCACATGAAAGCAGATGTAAACATTTGCGTTGTTTTTTTTTGGGGGGGGGTTTGGTTTTTTTATCTCTCTCCTATACTTGCATCAAGAGCCCAACACACAGTCAGCAGGTTTTTGTGGTGGTGGTGGTAATGTTTTCCCCTCATACTAATCAGGGATATCAAGGCCCTTCTACAAGCTTTTCTTAATAAATTAATTAACTCCCAGAAAAGCAGAAGCAAAGACTTTGCTGAAGAATAATTCTGAAGACTCCGGCTCATTTACTACAGCTGACTCATATATTCAGTAGCAGAATTTCTTTTTCACTCATTTTAAAAAAGGATGAATTGGGCTTTTAATTCATACCCAATTCTAGTGCTGTGAAGGAAAGATAAATTCTTCTAAGGAAAACCCGAAGAAGCCAATATTGCGAACTATAAAAGGAGAACATTTAGAAGGATGCACACTATATACCTGTCAGACCTAAGTTAATCATAAGCACACTGTGAAGAGCTCTGCAAAGACTTTCAGTTAAGTCCAAAGTATTATCTCCACAAACAATAATGTATTAAATGAAATAGAGAAAAAGCGCTCTTTCACCAAAGAAGTCGTGGAAGAGGTCCAAATTACTAATTACATGAATATCTTAAGAAAATAGGACATACTTGAAACTTACATTAATGTTAAGTGGGCATTAAAAACTACCAAGCTGAACTGAACTATTTGAAGCAGGCTAGAAAATTTAAAAAAGGGGGAAAAGAGTAGTAGTAACATCGAGTCAATCTTTTCTTTCCTGGACACTTGAATGGAAACCTAGGTCTGGAGTTAGTATTTCAGACACTGGCTAACATCAACTTCTTGTTAGGTGTCACTGAGAAGACTCTGGTTCAATGTGGTCTTACATAATACAGAATGAACTATTAACAGATGCATGGATCCCCAAAATCCCAAGAGCAAGAACTACCGTTACAGAACACTACACCATATAACCATAATCTTAGAGTCTAGGAGACACACCACCTTTGAAATTCTGGAATTTTGTTAATTAGTCAAGACATTGATATGAATTGCACATACACTGGCAAAACTGCAATAACCTTTTGAAAGCAAACCAGTACATCCCACTGGAGAATGAAGAAGGAGTGGCAGTAGACTGGGAAATGCCAGATGAGCTCTGTGAAGAACACTTGCAAGATCCATTCTCAGGAGTCATCCACTCTTGTGAGTCAATGGAAAATACATGTTCTCACTCCACCCTCATTATGTGCATGTTTGTAATAATAACAACTTTAAAACTGGGGGAATTTAGGACTCTAAGAATATGATACTTAAGTTACTATTCCATAATTTAGTTATACTGACCTTTTAAGGTGAATGTGCCCCTGTGTTTCTTTTTCTCTCCAAAGAAACAAGAATAGCTTCCCATCTGGTTGCTATTAATGACCGTGAACCTAGGGATGATATAGATTATTTATTTAGGCATAATTCTCAACATCTTAATGAAAATAAAAAGACTAATCCATACTTGAAAATACTTGTCTAGTAACCAAAAGTTTAAAAAGAGAGAGTAGCAATACCACAAGTATATAAATTAGCAGTGGTATAACATTCAAGTGAGTGCAGATGAGAGAACACTATAGCAACAGAAATAGTTAGAATTAAGTTCAGCCACAAAACTGGTTACAATTTTCATACTCACTTGTATTGGGCATACAAGACATTTCCTGTTGCATTACTGATGGAATTATTTTCAAGTACTTCACCATTTTTTTCCCAAAACACATTTACTGAATTCAAATCCACAGGTTTTGTAAACTGGCATATGAGTTCTACATGAGAAGGCCTTTCTAAAGTGATATTTTTTTCTACTGGTTCTTCGGAAGAATCTATCCACCACAAAAGAAAAACAAAAGGTGAAAGACACACAGTGAGGAAAAGTCCTGTATATAAAAACAACTCATCAATCATAGGGCTCTAACAGTTTCCTAATGTAACATCCATTTTCTTGAATAGTCTTTCACCTGCACAGATTTGATTTGGATTCTCTTTTGTAGGCACTGTTGAAGGAAAGTATTGTTACAATAGCAATAAAAAAACAAAAGTTGTATTAGGTAACTCTATCTTCTTGAAATTTCTGTAAATTCAAAATTTGCTGCTGTCAAGTAAATTCTGATTCAGAATGACTCTCCATTTGGTTTATGAGGCTGCATACTGTAACAAGAGGAGACTGACATCTTTCTCTTGTGAAGCTTCCGGTAGATTCGAACTACTGCAGATGTGTGGACTTCGAGTTAGCAGTGCCAGTCCCTATGACCTATGCCACCAAGGCTCCCTAAAAGCTTGATAGCTAATAGGAATAAAAGAGAGAGAAGACTAAGTACATCATATGTTCAGAAAAGTGTTCAAACAGTACAATGTCACATAAACAAACAAAGAAACAAGCACCCCATGGAGGTAGTCACAGCAATGGTTATTAAAATTGTTTCCAGTAATATTGTTGATTACCAAATATTTGTAAGAATATTTGTGTATAATATGAGTTTTAGGCGACACATGAATTCTATCATTTCAAGTTTTCTTACTCCTTAAAAACCCACTGGGGATGGGTGGAGATAAAAACCTACAGAGAATTTAAATAAACATCCTGTAGTTCAGAATTTTAACTGAATTTGAAACATCAATATGAAAGCAGCTTTCTCTCTCTCTCTTTTTTCTCCTCTCTCTCTCTCTCTCTCTCACACACACACACACACACACACACACACACTCTCTTACCCATTCATGGAGGATTCAGAAGCCCAAATGAGTCAATGTACTAGGCCTTTTGTATTAACTGATGCAAACATTTCAAAAAGAAAATTATGCCCCTCTGGAAGGAGTGTCCTACTTACTACTTAGGAAAGAATCTTGACAAAAGAAAAAAAGAGAAGGAACCTGAAACTGATTTAAGTCTCTAAATCCGATTACCGTGTTATGAAAATTATGAACAATGGAGGAATAAGGGAAACTACACCCAACAAAGTATTAAAAAAAACCAAAGAAAGCAAACAAAAATACATCACCAAAAAGCCAAAACAAAATCTAAACTCCCAAAACTAGGCTCTGGGTAAACTATAAGAGTTTTTTAAAAAGACCAATATTTTTTACTTTTTTGTGGTGTGTTTTTCTTTCTCCCCAAAAAGAAATCCAAAAAGGAGATAAGAAAAAATTATGCTTGGGAAATTTAAAGATAGTAATTTTTTAAAAAAAATATTTCTTTTAAAAATGAAAAAGTTAACAATAATAGTTAGGGATACACATCTAGGCAACAAACCAACAGCAGTGAGAACCACAGTGATCAGAATAGCAATTACTTTTACAACAAACGGCAAGGTTAAGTTCAGTCGTTCCTAGGGCTGCTATGAGTCTTTGTTGTTAGGTGCCATTGAGTCGAGTATGACTCATAGTGACCCTGTGAACAAAAGATCTGAGCCCTGTCCTGTGCAGCACCATCCTCACACTTCCTGACACACTAGAGCCCATTGCAGCCATCACCATGTCAATCCACGTGGTTGAAGGTCTTCCTCTCCGTCGACCCTCAACCCTTCCCCGCATCATGTTCTTCTCCAAGGAATAGCCCCTCCTAGCAACATGTCCAAAGTTTGTGAGGTGAGGCCTCATCATTCTTGCCTCCAAAGAACACTCTGTTTGAACCCTCTCCAAGACATATTTATTTGTTCTTTTTGCCATCCATGGGGTGTTCACTGCTCCTCTCCAACACTACAGCTCAAAGGCATCAATTCTTCTTCTGTCATCCTTATTCATTGTCCAGCTCTCACAGATTGGAAAATGATCAGAAAGACTAAGGCTTGAATCAGACACACCTCAGTGCTCAAAATGACATCATTACTCCTCAATAATGTGAAGAGGTCCCTAAACACAGATTTCCCCAGTTTTAGTTGGCACTAGTAACGACAACAGTGATAGAAACAAATTTATCAAAAGTTTTGTGCACTCAATGACCTTTAAAAAAACCACACTAAAAAACCCCCACACTTCATTGCAGTTAAGGCCATGCATGCTGAACTTTGTGTTCTTGTTATGTGCCATCAAGCTGGAACCCTACTCATAGCTGACCCTCCAGGGGTTTTGAGAGGCAGTTAATTGCACGGGAGATTGCTCATCTATCTTCAATGGAGCAGCTGGTGCATTCAGATCATGTACCTTTGGGACTGCAGTGCAGCCTCTTACCATTAGTCCACCAGAATTCTCCTGACCTTTTGGTTAGCTGCCACGAGCTGAACTACATGCCACCGGAGTTCTGTATTAATGGCATTCCCATTCCTGTGAGTGATAATGGATTCTTGAGTGACCTTCCAGTGGGTTTTCCTAGGCTGCAAATTACAAGGGAGAAGACCACTCACCTTTCTCCTGTGGAGCCTCTGGTTGATTGGAACCCTCGGAAAGACACAGCTCCATACAGAGCACCCTTATTATCAGTACAGAGCAGTTAAGACTGGGTGGAGAGCCAAAATGCAGAAAGGTTTTAAACAATGTTTTAATTTAAACTCTTAATTACACTTGAAACTACAAAAATGCTTTCTTAGGCAATGACAAGGTGCAAAGTTTGCAAACAGTGAAGTAAAGCTATTGTGAAATGCTTTGTGAGCACATGCTTGAAATAACTACTTGTGTAACTCAAAATTCGCTGAGATGAATTTTATGCTTAAAAAGGACAAACCTCCCAGGTATACAAAGTCCTTAACAACATCAATTATATAGGGGCAGGGAGAAGGTAGAAAGAAAGAGATGGAAGAATTTACATGGTTTATCATATTTGCTGAATACTTAGTACATACAAAGAATCAAATGGGGCAAAACTGTTTCAAGGTCTAGGGTATTTGGTACTGAGCTCTTGTCCTTACTTTTTCTTCACTTCACCTTTAGATCAGGCATTGTTATTGTTATGTGTGCAGTTGAGTCAGAAACAACTCATAGCTGACCCTCCAGTGGGTTTTCACAGGCAGTTAATCATACAGGAGGAGACTGCCAACCCTTCCCCTTCAGAGCAGCTGGTAGATTTGAACTGCATGCCTTTGGGATTGCAGCACAGCTTCTTATTACTAGGTCACCTAGGGTGGCCTTAAAATTTATCCAGTCCTATCTCTCTTTCAATACTGTATCTTTCTTCTACTTAAGAAGCACATTTCTTAAGAGACTTATAAGTCTTTGTACTTATTAACATCCATGCTTCAAACCAATCTATTCTTGTGTGTTAAACTATCACATGAGAAATTCCTTTCTCTCAGATAAAGTGTCCTTATTCTTTAAACTAAAATCACTCCCAGAAGTCCTCATAAAACCAAGGTAATGTCTGCCCTGGAGCACACTCTAAAAAGTCTATCTACACAAGAGCAAACTGACAACAGGAAGTCCTAAGACTAGAGAGGAACCTCAGAGGGCAGCGTTAAATGGGGAGGAATACCTCTGTCAAAGAGGGTAAAAATGGTTGCCTAATTCTGAAAATGTGTCACAGATAAAAATGACAGAGTCTGGTCGATAACAAATGAAAGAGCCATTATTAAACAACAAGAAAATATGCAAATGGGGAATCATAGGATCCTGATGTCCTAACCAAGTGATCCAAGGAACAGACAATTCAGAGAGTTACATTTCTTTTACTTGGTTCCACAAACAGCACCCATGAAGTTAAGAAACTGAAAGACTCATGAGTTGTACTGGAAAAGTTTCTTGAAAGGACCTCTCAACAGTGCTAAGGAATAATGATGCTAGCTTAAAGACTAAGGTAGGCCTAATTTAAGCCACACTATCTTCAATTGCTTCCTGTGCATCTGGAAGTAGGACAGTGAATGAGGAAGTCACAAGAAGAGTCAATGCCTTTGAAATGTGGTGGTGGAGAAGAGTACTAAATATTCAAATTCTGTAAAAACAAACAAGTACTTCTGCCTTGGAGGAAGTGAAATCAGGGTGGTCCTTAGAGGCAAGAACAGTAACACTTTTCCCCACACTTTGGGCATGTTGTCAGAAGGGGCCAGTCATTGAAAAAAAAAATATCATGCTGGAAAAGAGAAAGACTCTCAAGAAGAAGGATTAACACAGTGACTATAACAATGGTGCCCAGTGTATCAGAAATCATGAGGATGCTGCAGTATAGGTCAAGTTTCAGATCTGTTGTTCATAGGGTCAGCGTGATCTGTAGTGGACTCAATGACACCTAATAAGAACAACCACAGTAACTTGGGTAAAGACTACTCGTCCTTCTACAGGGCCACTGGTGGATTCAAACCATGAGAGAGACTCAGCCTTTGATTTAGCAATAAAACCCCCTACAGACTAGGCCATCAGAGCTCCTTCCAGTACTTCTGGGTAACTAAAGGTGCTTTTGGTAATTAAAATTGTTTAAAAAGAGAGAATCAGGCATAGAAAGGGTAGAATGAAATCAGAGAGAGTTTTGACAAATTTATTTTTTGTTCTGAAGAATTTATATTATTTACTGAGTAAGCTGAAATTCAAATGACTTAGTGGTAAGAATTATCATTCCAACAGAAAAGCACAGGGTTCAAATCTACCGGCTGCTCTTCACGAAAAAAGAAAAAAAAAACTGGGCCATTTCCTCCCCTGGGATTTACACCATTTTAAAACCTGCTGTAGGATCAGTTATGAATCCATTTTGACTCGAAAATCATTAGTGAAAGAGAGAGAAGGTAACTTGACAAGCAAAATCTCATGTTAGGATTTAATAGAATCTGGAACCCTAAGAAAACCTTTATAGTGCTGGAAAGCTGTCTAAAAAATAATATATAAGGACACAGTTAAAAAAATTACGGCAATTATTAAATAAGTACCTTAATTGATATATGTATGTGTGTGCGTGTGTGTGTGTGAC